CTTTATGGGTCTACGACGAATATTTAAGGATGTTACAAACGGTATGACAAAGTTAATATACCCTCCTTTCCAAGGTGGAGGGTATAAAAATGCCAGTTTGGTCTAATCATATTCCTGAACAATAGTCGCCTGCCTTGGGAAAATGGTCTGAGGTTAAGTTTCCCAAGCCAAGACAAGGAAATATTTAAATAACATTACAAAATATACTCAACTCCCCCTGACCCTCAAAAATGTTATGTAATTTTTCAATTATATGCCATGTTGTTGATATTTCAGTTCTTTTTTGTTGTTGTCATTATTGCTTTTCGGTCATTTATCAGAATCTTGATGAAATTTCTGCTGGTTGGACGGACGTCACTTGGTATCTAACTGTTTGTATTTAGTTAATTATGTTAATTAAATATAATTGTGACATAATTAGCTACCGTTATATTTCGCACGCAGTTTTCACACACACACTGGGAACTACCTACATGCAAACATGGAGTAGCATCGAAATGTAGAAATTATGCAAATTACTTTCACTTTGTTTAAAGGTTAATTATATACAAAATTTGTTTATATTTTTTATGTGTGTTTTTTGCGAGTGTGTGTGTGTGTATGTGTTTAGTTTGAAGTTTATGACCGGCTTAATGGTGTAATAATTGATTTAATTTTTATAGATATTTGTTAAATAATATATGTACGCATAATCCATGTAATTAGTTAAACAAATAACAATTACATGTATTTAAAAGAAGATGAAAAAGTGGGAAACAATTGTTGTGGATTGAATGTGGCATACTTCCAATAATGGGATGTGTATTTAGATCAAGATGGTCATGGGGTCATTTGATTATAGGGATGCTAGGTCATAGGTACAATCGACAATCAACTACAATTTGCAAATAAATCGTAAAATATGTTTACACATAATAAATTCAGTTGATTTTATCTGATAATAAAAAGAAACAGTCAATTTTATGTCCAAATCGTGGGACGGCAGAAAACATTTACGGTGAAAGTCGAGATTTTTATTTTGCGGAGCGAATGATTTTTGCTAATGATTTTTGGCAGTCTCTCTAAGGATTTTTCTTCAAAATACAGTTTTCGAGAGAAAGGCTATAAAAGGTAGACAGATTATAAAGGATTTTCTATGGAGAGTATTTTATGTTCGTCATTCCGTTTGCAACTCATCGACCTAAAGTTATATATTCTTGATCTAAAACGATTTAGCCCTGTCCGTCCGTCTATCTGTTGTAATCACGCTAGAGCCAAAACGAATAAAGTTAGGAAGCTAAAATTATACAGATATCAGTCTTATGTCTGCAGGCAGGACCACAATATCGTATAGCCCACATACAACGGTAACGCTATACGAAGACGTGGACTTACATGGTCCATTTTCTGTTTTATGCTGCAGTATCGAACTTCAGTACGAACTTCAAATACCAAACTTGGAACGATTCCGTTAAATAATGTCGCTAAAATCATCAATATGCCGAATATCGGTGGGGTACCGTTATATGGGGGCTATATAAAGACGTGGACCTATATGGCTCATTTTTTGACTTAGGATGTAGTATCTATTACGAACTTCAAACACCAAATTTGAAACGATTCCGGTAAATAACGTCGCTAAAATTATCAAAATACCGAATATCGGGGGGTACCGTTATATGGGGGCTATACGAAGACGTGAACCTGCACAGATAATTTTCTGTCTTAAGCTGTAGTATCCATTGCGAACTTCAAATGCCAAATTCGAAACAATTCCGGTGAATAATGTCGCTGAAATCATCAAAATACCGAATATCGGGAGGTACCGTTATATGGGGGCAATATGATCACTTGGACCTACATGGCCCATTTACGAACTTAACCTGCCTACTGGAAAAATATACATGTGTACAAAATTTTAGCCTTCTATCTCAATTTGTTTGAAAGATAGCGTGAATACAACAGACAGACAGACTTACAGACGGACAGACAGACACACAGACAGACACACAGACAGACAGACGGACATGGCTAAATCGTCTTTTAATTTTACGCTAATCAAGAATATATATAATTTGTTTGGGTCTGACATGAGTATTTCGAGGAGTTATAAACGGAATGACAAATTTAATATACCCTCCATAATATGGTGGAGGGTATAAAAAGGGGCACAACAGCCTTTGACAAAGAATTGCATATACAGGCCCACGTCTTCATATAGCCTCCATATAACGGTACCGGTACGTGTCAGTGGTCTGGTGGACAGCAATGGATAAAAAAAGTAATATCAAGATCTTGCAAAAAGTTCAAAAAAGTGTTGCCTATGAGGACTTCACCAAAGAGGACTTCAGAGACTAGTCTTTATATACACCCAATAGAAGTGCATTATTGGATATAAGACATTCATCGCACTCATGAGGTTGGAAGCGATGGAAGAGTGGATAATTATACAGGTCACTATCGGAAAGAAATACGATACACTTTGCGAATCACTAACCCAGGACCGAGACTCGTGAAACAAGGGACAGCGGGACAATGCTAGGCTTCGCCAACAAGGCCTATAGAGACTATTATGTATTCCCACAGCAATATGGCTAGAGAGGTCATTTGATACGTGCAAAACTTGTTTCATCGAAACAATGGTTTTAGACCCTAGGTCTCTTTGGACCAAATCCGTTTCTGGACATTTAGAGTTCATCTAGCAATTGTCAATCAATCCGTCCGTCTATACATCTGGCTGGTTCGTACGATAACTCTCAAAGCGAATATCCGATTTGATCTAAACTTGATACATCGTAATATTATTGTCAAACCTAGATCGAGTTCGGAGATGGGTAAAATCGGTCCACTCCTTCCGGCACCACCCCCACAAAAGGTCGAAATTTTCAAAGAAAATATTTTAATGCACAGAAAGAGAAAGGATAATCCGATTTTACTTTAACATTGCAAATCCTAGTACTTCCATAATTTCTAGGTCATGTGGGGACAAAATGGACAGTATCGGTCCACTCCATCAAGTACCTCCCATACAAAGGGTCAACATTTTGAATAATTATAACTCTTATATAATGTGATGTAAGAGTCCGATTATCTTCTAATTACACACATAACAATACTTTTATTAACCCAAGATCTGTTGTGAAGATGGAGTATATCGGTCCAATCCTACTGGTACCTCCCCACAAAGGGACAAAATTTTGAATATCCATGTAGCTCATAATACATGAAATTAACCTCCGATTCCATTCAGACTTGGCACATCTCAATATTTCCATCAACACAAGATCTGTAATAAGGATGGTAGAAATCAGACCATTCCTTCCATGAAGCTTATAAAACGCGAATAAAATCCGATTCCATTTAGACTTGGCACATCTCAATATTTCCATCAACACAAGATCTGTTATAAAGATGGTAGCGGTCGGACCATTTCTTCGATTTTTACCTCCCCACATAGAGTTTAAGATTTTGAAAAACAAATTGCTCAAAGAAAGCAAAATAAGCAAACGACTCTCTTCAAATTTCACACAAACAAACATTTTTGTTAACACAATCTGTTCTGATTGTGATCTGTTTTAATATTTTTATCTGTCATAACTTGCGAAACAATTCAGCGATTTTTTACAACTTGCTATATTCAAACATTTCTCTCAGCCAGAAACCTGAGATGAATATGGAATTTATGATTTTGCATAAAATTGGATATAAGTGTTCGATTTTCTTGTAATATTGCTCATACCAATATTTTTATATGTACTAGATGAAGCATGAAAAATGAAGTATTCATTTTTATACTATACCTGGTTAACATTTTCAAAAATTATTACATTTGTCATGTAAAGTGAGGGATGTTACCAACCTGTTACCAGGTTACCCCATATTTATATCATATTTATTTAGGTCCGATATGAAATAAACAATATTTGCCCATTCCCTCAGAACCCACTTCATAGAGGGTCAACAGTTTGACTAATCATAACAGAAGTCAAATATATTTAAATAATCGGGCAATGGCTGAGCGTATTAGTCAGCCGACAGGAAGGATTGATACGTTTTACTTATCAATTTTTTCTTTTTTTTATGAAAAATATTTTTTGTTTTTGACGATACCCTTCTGAATGAAGTTTGAAAATTTATTAAGTCCTATGCTTGAGGTAAGACTTAGAGCTTTGATATATTCGGTGGAAAATTTAAATTTGGAAATCCTACTTCGTAGACTGACGGTATATGTGGAAACAAGTTCGAATTCTGACATAGTGATATGTCTATCAAACCAGTTATGAAAATACAGGCTAATTGGCCATCTTCCTATTTGAACTTCTTAATCAAAATGTGCTCTATTTTGGAATAGGCTTATATTTTCCGGTACCACGTATCTTTAAAATTGGTAAATTCCAAACTTCTTACATTGCTTCCAATGCTTTAATCTCCATTTTTTTTTTCTAAAATCGTATTCCCGTATATAAATTTCAAATGAAACAATTATTTTTTCAATAATGTTGAGCTCAAATTTAAATTACACCTACTCAAAATTTGCTTCAAAATAAAATATTCCCTTAACATTTTTTTATTCTACCTGTTCTATCTTCCGATCTTTCATTACGACCCATTACCTTAAATGTCGCAGAATAAAAGTTATAAGTTTTGTATATTTTTACTTAATTTCAATGTTTTCTGGGAATTCTTGTTTTATTTTTTTTTTTCTTTTTCTTCTTGGAATATCAGTTAAATCCGCACGAGTCTCATGCAGGTTTTTGTTTTAAATTAATTTAACTTTGACGTTGGTTGCTTGAGAAGAGAAACAAGTTTTCGCTATTAATAAAACATACCGAAAACAACAAAATTTGGATCAATTCACAAGGTTATAAAAATCGATAAAATATTGATACCCGGGTAAAAGTTGCATAACACAGGAGAATACAAATTTGAAAATGTAAATATTTTAAAATTGAGTTGAAAGTCAAATATCAAAGATATTTTTTTCAGTTTTTTTCTTCTTTGTGTAATTTTCATGCACTTACCTATGACCATGGCGAATATGCATAATTTTAGAAACGCCATTTTCAAGTGAACACTCTATAAAAAATGAATATATTTCTAGGAATTATTTCTTATTAAAAACTTATTTATAATTAATTTTTTTTTCTTTATAAATTTATAATTATTTTATTTTTATTTTTTTTAATATTTTTTTTATTAATTTATTTCTATATTTGTATTTTCTTCAAAAAAAAAAAATCCACTCCGTTGCACAAACAGTTGTTATTCCATGTTAACGTTTTACTCTCTTGGCGTTCACTCAAAAGACTAGAAATCCGTAAAGGTTGTTTCCATGTTAAATAAAGGAAAATAAAAAATATATGTTATTTCTTTTTTTTTTAAATAAAAACCAAAGAAAAGAAACAAAATGTTAAAGACACAACGCCGCACCACACCACCAATAATACCAGGAACAACAACAAAAAGCATCAGCAAGCTTGGCTTAAAAATACAATTTTTTACTTTGCATGAGTTTTAATGACAAAGCGGCTTACAGTGAGTGACATGCAGCACTATGGTGGGAGGGGGTGTGGTATGATAAGTTTAGAAAATTGTAGGAGTAAGTAATACAATGGTCTTTCTTTTACGAGTTTGTGCGAAAGGTATAGCGAGAGGTTTAATGTGTATCTCACTTAGAGCAGGCACTGAAATAGAAAATGCGGGACCATATATATCATCTTCACAACAGATCTTGTGTTAACAAAAACGGTTATATGTGTGAAATTTGAAGAGATTTGGATGATTATTTCGCTTTCGTTTTCAAAATCTTGAACCCAATGTGGGGGAGGAGTTCCGTTTGTAACACCTCGAAATATACATACATTTTAGACCCCACAAGTATATATATATCTATATATATATATATATATATATATATATATATATATATATATATATATATATATATATATATATATATATATATAATATATATATATATATATATATATATATATTATGATCCGTCTGTCTGTCTGTCTGTCTGTCCGTCTGTGGAAATCACTCTAGCTTCCGAACGAATTGAAGTAGATTGATAAAATTTTACTCAAATGTATATTACGTCTGTGAGACTTTGAAAATTGGCTAGGTAGGGTCCACGTCTTCGTATAGCCCCATATAAGGGTATAATGGTACCTCCCGATATTCGGTAGTTTTTAAGATTTTAACAGAATTTTTAAACGGATTTTATTGTTTTTTTGAAAATTACCAAATTTGTTCTAAATCGTGGAGGGTATTCAAAGTTCGGCCTCCGAGCTTACAGCTGTTTTACTTGTTTTGACATACCGTCACCCCCATCTTTTTTCACTCTTTGAGCGCATTTCTGTTCTATTTTGATCAATTCTGCTCCCAGTATAATCTTTCAAATAGCAGTGACTCGAGAGTGCTCCCATACAAAACAAATGGAAAACTCCCCCTATTCGAGCAGAATTGCTCGCGAGCAAGTTTCGCTGCCGAGTGAAAATGAGAAAATCTATGCTCTGTTTCGAACAAGTAATAGAGATATAGATACTAAATTGTATACCTACCCATGTTTAGACCTGAAACATGCGTGATAATTTGGTGAATATCGGTTGAGATTTAGATATGACAACAATAATACCCTTATGCGATTTCAAGTCTATTATGCACCAAATTGTTAATATAAGCCATATTGAATGTATTTTGACACATACGACCCAATTCAGTCTGAAAGAAAGTGTGCCAAATGTAATGAAAATCGGATCAGATATATAGGTCCCATATATAGGTTGAGATTTAAATACAGCACCCATATTTATCTTCATACGATTTCAGGTTTTTTGGACATCAAAAAGATAATACCAGCTTGAGTAGGATGGATTATGGAGAAAATCGGTTCAGACTCAAATACCTCCGCCACATTTAGTGAAAATCGATTTAGAGTAGCATATACCTCATTTACAGGGTGAGATAAAAAAACTGTAACGAACTCAAACGCCATAATTTTTACATTTTTTTAAAAACTTTATTGAATGAAAGCAAAAAATGTCGGAAATAGCGTCAAATTTTAGAATAAGTTTAGATTTGTTCGAATTGGCACAAATTATGGCCTTCAAACGGCCAATGAAACCATTACACGGTGTCCGAATGTTGCTCTGCGGTATTTTGGTCCATTCCCGGCGAAGCGCTTACTTGAGGTGATCGACACACTGGTATTTTTTAGTGCCAACCCTGCTTTCCAAAATACTCCAGACACAATAATCCAACGGATTGGTAATCGGAGACTTTGGTGGCCATTGTGCGCTGGAAATGAAGCGAGGAACCTCATTTTGTAACCATTCTTGAGTGACGCGTGCTGAATGCGATGGTGCTGAGTCATGTTGGAATGTCCAAGGTCTGCGGCCATAATTTTTGCTTGTCCAAGGCTATAGTACACCCTACAGAATATTTTCGCTATAATATTCGGAATTTATTCTGATGCCACGGTCGATTAATACGAGCGGAGAGCGACCATCGGCTGTTATGGTGGCCCACATCATCACCATGGCCGGCGCTTGAGTTTTGGTGACTAACCGAAGGTGCACATTTTCAGCTGACCTCTTTGGCAAGTAAACACGATCACTTTGTTTGTTAACAAACTGCTGGACAACGAATATTTTCTCATCGGAGAAAACCAAATTCGACAGTTTACCACTTTCAACCAAGCGAAGCAACTCTTCAGTTCTTTTGAGTCTATTTTCTTTCCGTTGCGGTGTAAGTTCTTGCACTTTTGGAATTTCAATGGCTTAACCCCGAGCTCACTTTTCAATATTTGCTGAATAGAATATAGCGATATGTCCAGCCCACGAGCCATTTTTCGGTCACTGCGACGCGGGTTTCGATTAAGTCGCTTCTTTACTTTTCGAACCATTTCTGCTGATGTTGCTGTTTTCATCAGTCCACTCAGGCTACGCTACCAGTATCGCGGTAACGAGCGATAGTACGAGAAACAAAAGATTTATTCACATTTAAATGCTAGCGTGCTCTAACGATAACCCCCACTGGTTTTCAAGCCAAATATAAAGAAGTCACAGTATTACGCTTGAATTCCATCACGAATAACTTTTTTTTCTGGAAAATTCTCACCAAAATGCTTTTGTACGATTGTAAACAATATAATGAGCTGTCACTGGAACAATTTTAACAGATGTCGGACGAGTGGCTTAGAAATGACAGCAGTCTGAAGTTGGTTGCAGTTTTTTCATATCACCCTGTAGAGCTGGAAACCTGAAATTTAATATTTATGTCACTATTGGTATCTGGTGGTGGTTTTGCAAATGCGTTCTAAAATTGTTCGAAGAGTATTAAATTGTACTAATTTTGGATCACTCTTGGTGTCTAAGATGAAGAAATGCGTACTAAATATTAAAAAATTTGTTATTAGAGTCAATGTTGGTTTTTCAGGGTTTACATAGGGACTAATATTCTCCTCGGCAAAATAAAAATGAAAAATTTTAAAGATTTTTGAATTCTTCCAAGTAATTAGTAATTACCAAAAGTAAAATACTTTTGGTACCATTTTATACCATTCCAAAACTACATTCAAACTTTCTTTCCCATCTTGATTCTCATAACAACTTTTTGGCTCTTTCCGTTCACATAATACCAAATGGTACCATTTTAGAACTTTTTGTAACCTTAAAAATTAAATTTCTAAAAACCCCTTTGGTACATCTATCCTGTACGTCATCGGTGATTCTCATTCCGTTTGTCCAATACAAATAATTAAATTTTTTGTGCAGTTTAGTACTTTTCGTACCTTTTTGTACTAATTACCAGAAACCCAGCCTTATCACACACCTAAGCACTAAGGATGACCCTCGTGCAGAATTTCAAGCTTCTAGCTACGACCGTTTCGCCTTGGCGTCGATTCTTAGTCTGTCAGTCAGTTTTATAAATATATAGATTGGACTTCTCAAGTAATAAAATGCTTACAAAATTTTATCTTTCAGCAATGCCTAAAAAATTCTGTCAACCGTATTCCCATAATTTTCACCAATGCCTCGTAACACCACATTGACCTAAGCAAATCCACCGTTGGGATAAATATCAGTAGTCACGTCGAGTAGTTGGTGTTAGTGGTGTTACCCGTTTTTAAATCACGTTTTTTCTTTGCTTTTGTTGCTACTTTTTTTGTTAAAGAAATAAATATTTATTTTTGTTGTCTTCGGACTTGTTTTTTTTTTTTTCATTTCAGCTAATGCTCTTTTATTAAGTTGTTGGCTTCTTTGTTTGTCAGCGTTCGTGGCGTGGATGTGTGCGAAATGCAGTTGTTTTTGTTAAAAGAAAAAAAACGCAACAAAAATTAATGTTTTTTCGTCTGTTATTTTTGACTTTAGCGGTCGTTTGATTTTTTATTTGTCGATCGTTTCTCTCTCTCACCGTCTCATGAGTGCATGAACAGAGACTATTTTATCACAATGCTTGCGCTTTGCGACTGCGCAACGTTAAGTGTAATGCGGTTTTATGTAAAACAGCAACAAAAATATACGGAATGGTAGCAGTAGTAACAACAGCCATATGTGAATATGTCTATTTAATTGTATAGTTGGTAAACAAAACAGTTAATAACTGGTTTCAAAAGTCATTGCGTTTTTTTTTTTCTGAATATCAAAGAAAATCAAGAGAAACTAAAAACCAGTAAGGAAAGCTCAAAAGTCGGGCGGGGCCGACTATATGATACCCTACACCACTATGCATATTTAGTAGAGCTCTCGTAAAAAGGTTTATACAGAGCATTTCAGAGCTCTATGAGATATTTGGTACGAAATCAAAATCTATCTAATTCTATCGTGCATTTTACGAACTATAGCTATATCTGAATCGATTTTCACCAAGTTTGATGTATTTGATTCTAGGCTGAATTCGGTCAGATTTCCAAAACCCAGGACATTTGGGCTGATATTGGACATTTGGTGCGCAATCAACACGAAATTGGATGAAGATATATATAGGAGGTATATCCAAATCTGAACCGATATTTGTAAAACTGAAAAAGAAGATATTTCTTGGCTGCATCTGATACCAAATATTATTCTTGTATCGTACATTTTTCGAATTTGAGGGACTTAAAGTACAAATCGGATGAAAGGTATATATAGGAGCTATAGCTGTATCCGACCGATTTTCACTAAAT